TGTCTTCGCTCAATACTCAAGATCAGATGGCCAGCCAGAAAAGATCAGCAACAGGGATCTTTGGGAACGAACCAACCAGGAACCGATTGTGAAACAAGTGCGTTCGCCTAAGTAAAAAAGACCTAAAGCATCCCTGTCCTATACTCTTTAGGCTCGACAGCTACATAATAGCTGAACGATTTAAGAAGGCCGAAGATCTTCTGACTACTGCCACTAAATTCAAGACTATTAAAGTAGTCTCGGATAAAACAACTAACCAAAGGCAAGCAACCAAGAACTCCTTCGATACAAAGTTGAACACACCGAGAAATACATCTGGTATCAGTGCTAAAGTGTCGACGGACACTGAAGCACAGCAAGTCACCTGTATAGTGTTGGGAAAAAAATCGACAAGTAAAAGCGACTCGAAACTCAGTAAGAGCAGTGTCACTGGGTGCAATCTTAAAGTACATGAGAGCACATCTGGAAAACCTGCTGACATACATGAGGTTGATATTGACTCACAAACTATGGCTGACCAGAAACCACTGGCAGATCACACTCAATCTGGATGCAAGCCCGACAGTCCCGCAGTAGAAACTGCAAGAAAGACCACAAAGCCTAGAGTCCCACTCCAGACTTCGACATACCTCCCTCTCAATAAGTCTAATAAGCAACATGTCAGTCTAAAAAATGACAATGCACGTGTAAAAAACCATATTCCCAAAAAAGTCATCCATCATGTGAATGAGAACACCCCTTCCCGAACTAGGAGTAATATGCCTAGCAACGCACATAACTTGGGAATGCAGCGTAGAATGGATCATCAGGATATATGGAGCACTAAACGGGACTCATATAGGCATCATATTAATGAATATTCTCGTCCAAACTCTCACACTATCTATGTTGAACCTCAACAACATAATGAGTATAGATCGACACTTGACCCTCTCAATAACTTCACTCACACATGTGATGTGAGCCAATATGCATACGACTATGAAAGACCCATGAGGTACAACTACCAAGGTAATCTTAACACAGGGCACCTAGGTCAAGCAAACTATATATCACCAGTAAATGAACACAGATGCGCACCCATGGATGCTAAAAGTCAAAACATGCAACAGGATTATTTTCGTATGCAGCAAACAATAGCCCCACTCGCTGCACAATTCATCCAGGAAATAGTACACACACTGACTCTGTCTCACCTCAGAGCCCCTCCAAACATAACGTAGGGATAGTAACAAGTAAGCATGTTAACCTCTCCTCCAATAACTCTGGTTTACTAACGATTATGCTCCTGAATGCTAGATCTCTCCCTAATAAAAAAAACATCGCTTCGCTGCCTGGCATACATAGAACGGCCAACACTAATAATGGTGACTGAAACCTGGCTTACTACTGATATACCTGACTCAAAGCTAGTAATAGACAACTACGACATCTATGGGAACGATAGAGTTGACAAAAGAGGAGGCGGCGGCTTAATATATGCCTCTAAATCCACCAACTCCAATACTTTCAATAACCCAACTACTGACAAACTCCCTGAATCTAAGTGGATAAGCATCCACACAAGCGAAAATAAAGTTCTCGTGGGATGTATATACAGACCCCCTAATAGCTCTGAAATGACTGATATAACTATTGGAGAAATACTAGGGCATGTAGCTACGCTGGACTTTGACTACAAAGTAGTCTGTGGCGATTTCAACTTACCTGGAGTAAACTGGGATACCTGTACAGGAACTAGAATCCATGACGAGCTACTACAAGCTATAGACGTGGGCGGATGGAAGCAGTGCGTACGCCTCCCTACAAGAAATGAAAACACTCTTGACTTAATCCTTTGTCATGAAATAGAGCCCATCTTGATCGAGGTAGGAAATAAACTTGATAACAGTGATCACAACATATTGTACTGCACGCTACCCCTCCGACTAACAACTAAACACACACCTAAAAATTCCCCGGTGCACTATCAACATAGGGACTATAAGAATGCCGATTGGGAATTCCTATCAGATCTACTGAGAAGTTCTGACTGGGAAGAATACTTCATCAACGATAACTTAGAAGTATCACTTGATATTTTCTACAAAACAATTGGCTCAGCAAGAGACACAATCGCGCCCCTAAAATCTGCTCTAAAGACACCAACTCCATTTATAGACCGCAAAACGCGACTAAAACTAAAGAAATTGAAAAGGAAATACCATGTATTTAAGGAATTTAATGCGTTAAACCAAATACATGAAACTCTTAAACGGCTTGAAGATAAACACAAAATGAGGTCACAACTTGAAGAAAATAAACCGCTTGTGGGTAACTTCAAAACTCAGGAACTTTGTAGGATATTGGAGAAATCCCTAAAAAGTAGTAAAGACAATACTGTAAGCAGCTTGGAACATAAGGGTATAATATACAATGATCCCCAGGTTATAAGTGAACTCCTCAATGAGTGGTTTTGCAATGACGCCAGAGTGCACCCGACCCAAAATTTTTCCAAATGGCCTGCAAAAGTAACCACAAATTAGGCGAAATAGATTTTAATATACAAAATATAGACTCAGCGATTAAGACATTGAAGTCTAATGGTAGTACTGGAACAGACGACATACCATCTGTCTTATACAAAAATGGTAGCACGGAAATGGTAGTCTTGTTACTTAGAATATTTACTCTCTCTCGTTGGAAACTGGGACTTATCCTGAAGGATGAAAAATCACATACTTTCCGGCGGTACGTTCGAAATTGGTGACATTTTTGCACGGAGTGAGGCTATGTTCTATGATAAGGTGTTTTCGCGCATTGCATGGGTTATCGCGTTCACGCCTATAGAGACGTTCTAACCGCTCAGTATTGTGAAAATAGATTCTATTTGACTAGTTTTAGGCTTCTGTAGCCGAAAAATGCAATATTTTTGTGTATTGTGTTCGTAGTAATGCGTAAAATTGTCATGACAGCCTAGACGAATTACTAATAAAAAAGTCATCATTTTGAAGAAATATCGCATGAAAAGTCCATTATTAGGGTTTTAGAGCATTTAGGCATTGTTTTTTGTGAGTTGTTTCAGATCTTAAGGTTGTAAATTGACTGCAGGCAATGGCTGTTGTCATCCCAGTTATTCTATGAGAATCGTGCATTTGAAAGAGAAATAGCCTAGAGACATAAGTTAGATGTGTGTTTTGAGGATGTCAGACACTTCTTTTATCATCTGTGATGGCTGAAATATTCCATAGCACATGGAAGAGATCATGCAATGAATGAGACAGGCTGCTGCATTTCCTGGTGATTATAACTACTTTGATGAAGTTCCCATTTAAAATTGCTTAGGCGAAGATATGATACTACTTTAATTGACATTTGCACTTGGAATGTCAGAAGGCTTTAATTGTTCATTGTCAAAAATGGCATCAGATTATGTGTATATCAGTGTGCATGGGGTTACGAAGAATAGTGCAGATGGTCCTCCTGAAATGTCAGACTACTTAAAATTAGTATCAATTTTCTGTCGATTAGTAGCTAGCAGGTGTGTCCTACAACTACTGCACCTGTTACATAAGTTATCCCAGTCTTAACAATCGTTCGTGTTCAGATCACTAAGATATTCTGAGATCCTTAATGAATTACTTCTGGCTATGAAGGATATGGAAGATGCACTTATGGCTCATATGTTTAAATCATTTATTATGAAAGAAGTTATCTATAGGGATTTTGTGATGTTCAGGTTACAATGCTTGAGTGTATGTAGTGACTGCATGCTTCTGTGCGTGAAGGAAAAGTTGGTTAAAATGAAGATGTGATGAAGTTTTCTGTACAGTGTTCATTGTGAATGGTTTACTAGTTAACACTTATTATTTGCTTGCTGCTATACTGTATTAGACGAACAATCTCTGTGTGACATTAAAAAATACAGAAGAATGCTGTCATCACCAAAGAATGAAAAAGGAAAATGAACCTTTTTCAGTAAAGGTATGGAAATTTAAAGCGTTTAACTTTAACATTACTTCTTCCTTACTTCAGCGATTTAAAAACATACACTTTGTTCACTTATTTACAGATATCCGGTAGTGTCAGTCAACTTGGTCACAGCAATTCAACATGGGCGAAATAATTACGAAAAACAATTGTGTAAAGACATTTGCTTATTTTTTTTCATTAAATAGATTTAACATCCTGCTTACAATACTTTTCTTATTCTATCTGAGTGAAACTAAGTTTTTTTGCATGAAAAGATGCAGATGTCAGACTTATCAATGATACTTGATGATTTATTTGACTGCATAATTAAACGTAAGCGGAATGTTACTACGACTGCTACAGCTCAACCTACTTATTTATTCGTTATGTGTAAACTTAATTTTACAGTATACGTTAACACCCGTTATCATAGGGACTGCCATAACGCTTTAATTTAAATATTAGTAATACACTGATTTGGAATACACCTAACCGTATACGAACTGGAACTGCAATGCAGTGCCTAAGTTCTACCTATTGTTGTCATTGTTCCATACAGACTTGCGTATGACTATGAGACGTTTTCACGTAACTGTAGACAGAGACTTAAGGGCCACTAAACTACTTATAATTCACCACGCATATCGGTCGATAGTGTTCCTACAGAATTACACTTAAGTATAGTAACGAGTTCAAGTCCTAGGGAGCACCGGTCTAGCATGCCGTGCTCACAAAGCGAATACATGAATTGAAAGACAACAAGATTTATATGAAAAGTTCATATTTATTATAATACAACATTAGTTTGTTTACATATTAAGAAAATGGTCCATTTGTGCGATTACTTCTCCCGCTTTCGGATGCGCACAAGTTACGAGACCATGTCCATCGTTGACACTTATGCAGCACATTATTAACTACAAAAGGTGGAAGAGTAAACAAAAATAGAATTATGCACACAATATTACAGGATAAATAATGCTCTCACTCGCATTGGCTACCTGAAATAAACTAAAAAGGCTTTGTCAATTAGTATCCATCTGTCTCACGACTGTTTCAATATAATTCCGTAGAAAAAGCAACATTGAAATACATCACTGAGCAATATCCACCGATAAAATGCTGCACGTATAACCTAAAATCGAGAAAAGCCAAAGAACTCACGGGTTCCTTGACATCGCCAGCAACCGATAGGCCAACAAACCGAGTGTATGATAAGCCAAGCCTTGTACATGCACAAATAAGTAAAAGAAAACGTTAGAATACTCAAATTTTACATTTATTTTCATCAAATATGCTTGTAAACAACGCATACCTCAAGCACACAAACCTGCAACGACATCACCTAACAAGGACAAATTAAATATCAAATTAGCCACCACTGTTCCAGCCAATGAAAGACGAGAAAACCTGAGGCGCGGAAAAATTAACACGTCATAGAACACACCCTCACCCTTTTGCACGTGTTTGCTCTGATATTCATTTACTGCTTATAGTCATATAATCCTTGAAAATATGATCCAAATTTCTAAAAAACGTGTTCGTAGAAACACAGTTGTTTTAGATAGTGCCTCAACATCGGTTATAACTGCATTACAACCCTGTAATACAGCAATAACTACTAGCTCACAAAATGGCTTGAGTGCAATTCTCACTCCTGTGATACAGATGAAAGATGTTCTTTTAGAGAACTCTGAGATCTGTAAATTAGACATCCTTGTGAAAGATATCCGAAGGCAAGTAGATGAACTTCGGGAAAAATTAGGTCAGTTTGATTGAATGTCACTGCCAATGTCAAATATCACGGAGAGCAGTTCTGATACTGGCCAGGTTAAGTCTTTACTGGATGTAACTCAAAGCAAGCTTTCGGATTTAGATCCAATAGCCTGTATGTTAAGAAAGCATCCTAAAATGTCTCCAGACACCCTAAATAAGGCCGAAAATCTGATTGACTGCTTGGCTGCGGAGGTGATGAAGCGTATAACATCTTCTCACCAGGCTATAGTTTACAATGTCCCAGATTCTCTTCCTCTGAAGACTGTTAAACACAAAATCCTGATTTGTTGTGGCATGGCCAGTGTTCCATGTGAATGCAAAAGACTTCGTAAAAAGTCTAACCAAGCTAACTGTCCCATTATTTTTATGTTCAGTAATTCCCTTGATTCTAGTAAGTTTATTAAATGTCAGGATCACCTAAGACTGAACAGTAGTTATAAGTCTATAACCATAGCTCGGGACAAAACACCGTGTCAGCGCAGAATGATGCGGTGTAATAACCTGGCCACCTCCTCTAGCATAGTATTACCCAAAAACGATCGTGCACAGCAACAGTCACCTAATGCTGACATTAGCATTCAGCAAACCACACAACAACCACGCATGGCAATGGAACTAGGATCTGATTTAGATACCAGTACCCCTGTAAATAACGTCTCACCGAAAGATGTTAAAATAGGTAGAACTGCTGCAAGTCGTTCTAAAAAATTCTTACCCAAACGTGGTAACCTCACCACAATGAACAAATTTCGCCGGGTTGAGACTAATGATGGGGAAGAATACTTTGTATTCAATAAGCTTGCTGAGAGTAAGCGTGTCAAAAAACCCTCACCTCTTACGAAAAAATCCTCTCGAAACACAAGTATATCTGGTGGTTTTCAGTATGCTCCACCTTATAGAAAGTCAGGCCCCAAAACTCCCAAAGTCTTACAACCAAAGCACCTTCCCTCTCAATTTCCTTTAACTTATAAAACCAACACGAAAGTGTGCACCGGTATGACGGATAGCACGTGGATGGGTAGACCATTTGATGCTATGCTTTTTAACCGTCAACCCAGGCCCAACCTATACTATCCTTATATCCAGGAACATATGGTAAATTTTCCAAGTGTCCCGAATCACTGGTACGACCCATGGCACCTAGGACCACCTCACTGCACTCTAACCCCGATGTACAGACACCCAGTCCGAGCCCCGTATCATTCATAAACTCTTGCGTTGTTGACGCACAAACAGAGTTAGGTTATGGTGATATCTTAAGCCAGTTTGTAGTATCCCGTGACTTATTCACGATATTGCTAATTAATGCACGTTCCTTAATCAATAAGATATCTGAACTAAGGGCATTATTATTTATCGCCAAGCCTACTGTAGCTCTGATTACTGAATCATGGTGCTCATACTCTGTACTTGATGTGCATATAGGCATAGATGATTACACTGTACACCGTGCAAATAGAGACTGCAAGCGTGGTGGAGGATGTCTCATATATATACATAACTCATTCTTAGCCAGTAAGGTGGAAGATGAAATACTGAACGAGGTACCTGATTCACTCTGGGTCGTCTTACAAGGAGATAAGTACAAGCTTCTCATAGGCTGTGTTTATCGAGCACCAAGCTCAACCAAAGAAACTGATGCGTTATTAGCTAAATCATTCGCACACGCCTCATCGTTTAGTACTAACTACAAAATAATTGCAGGGGACTTCAATCTTCCAGAAGTCAATTGGTTGAGTAGTTCCGGTCCCCAACGCTTCGACGAACTACTTGCCACTATCGATTGTTATGGATGGCAGCAACACGTCCAGACACCCACTCGTGGCGACAACATGTTGGACCTTGTGTTTTGTCATGACACAATCCCAGTCTCCACCTATGTTGGTAACAGATTTTCCAGTAGTGACCATAGAATGGTGCTCTGCTCTCTGCCTTTCTCACCACTAAATACAGGAAACAAACAGGATTCAGGGAGTTTGATTTGTCGTAGTTACAAACATACAGACTGGGGATTAGTCCAAGAACTCATTCGACTCTGTCACTGGGATGAATATTTTACCACTGACTCCCTGGAGGCTGTAGTGTCCCTATTTTACAGGAATGTTATCCTTTGTCTAGATACTGTTGCTCCTAAGAAGGTAGTGACATTAAGTAGACACCAAGCTGAATTCATTCCGAGGGCATGCCGCAATAAGTTAAGGAAGTTAAACAAACAGTACTATTCCACTAAGGATATATCACTACTGCACTCAATCCACGAGTCTCTTGAATCTGTCAAGCGCCAACGCTCTCAAAAGGACCTCGACGAAGAATTAAGGGCACTTGAAAGCACCTCCAAAGTTTATAACTTAACAACACTTCTTAAAAAACGAATGCAGTCGACGAGGGACATCCCCTATTTACTTCACGACAAAGTTATCTACAATGAGCCTGCCACCATCTGTGAAATGTTCAGTGAGTGGTTTGCAAACTTCAGTTTAGAAACGCGCATTCCTGGTGACACCGGCCCCCTTACTAGCTCTTCCCTCGGAAGCATAGTGTTCACCGACCAATTAATAGAACAGGCAGTTAAAAGCCTGAAACCTTCCACTAGCACGGGACCAGATAGCCTTGCTTCTATAATTCTCAAAAACAGTGAGTGTGATATACCCCTACTACTTCTTAAACTCTTCTCAATATCTATGGACACTGGCACTTACCCTAATGAGTGGAAAACTAGCTTCATAATTCCACACTATAAATCCGGTGATAAGGCAAACGTCCGCAATTACAGACCTATAAATATAACCCCAGTTGTCTCGCGAGTCCTGGAGAAAGTTGTCAAAGATCAACTGTCAGACTATCTACTTAAGGAAGATCTTGTTACAAGGTCTCAACATGGATTTCTCAAAAATAGGTCTTGCGTTACTTGCCACTTCGACTTTTTCAACTGCATCACTAGTAGTCGCGAAGCACGTAAGCTAGTTGTTGTTCTCTACTTCGATATATCTAGGGCATTTGACATGGTATCTCACAGTATTCTCTTTGAGAAGCTGTATTCATGTGGGATTCGCAATCCATTACTGAGCTGGTTAAAATCCTTTCTAAGCAATAGGGTACAAATAACCAAGGCTGGATCTGTGTTGTCTCATCCCAGACAGATCACAAGTGGGGTTGTGCAAGGTAGTGTCCTAGGTCCACTTTTATTTACAGTATACATTAACAGCATTTGCAACTGCTTCACCTCAGGTAAATCATTCCTATATGCTGACGACCTCAAAGTTGTTTACTCCTGCTACGCTCATGAACTAAGCGATATGGTAAACAAAATACATCTTGAACTAAGTGGTCTCGCAACATGGTGTACTGAATCCTGTCTAAAGTTCAACATTGATAAATGCGGCTGGATTTGTATCGGCAACAGTAACCTTGACCTGAATCTTGAAATAAATGGGCGTAAACTAGCCAAGCTCAACTCAGTCGTAGATCTCGGCATCAGATACTCTAGTAACTTAACGTTCTCTGAACAAACTGATTATGCCAGACGTAAAACACGAAGGCTCCTAGGATGCATAACTCGCAATTTCTTTTCTTGTGAAACTAGGGTTTTATTATATAAAGTATGTGTCCGACCTATTCTAGAATACTGCCCGTTTATTCTTAGCGGACTCAGACAAAATGACAAGCTTAAGTTAGAAGGAGTGCAACGGCAATTCACCTTAAGAATTCTTGGTTTAGAAAGTGGTCTCCAATACTATGAACGTTGCGACAGACCAAGTTTAGAACCACTCTGGAAAAGACGTCTTCAGCTGAACCTAATTTTTTACTACAAGCTAACTAATCTGCTCGTGCACTCCTCCGAGCCAATAATTAAACCTACCGCTGTCATCAGTTACAATCTTAGAAATCACCACAACCTAGCTGCTATGCAGCATTGTCAGACTTACATGCGGTATAATTTCTTCTTAAATAAGTTTTCAGTCATTTGGAACAGGCTACCAGCTGATGTGCGCGATGCAAACACACTCGCAGTGTTCATCTCCTCAGTCACCAGACTGCTCAAAGATGACAGTGCACTTCTGCGTCTGAATCCTACACCCACTTTTTCGCCCAACATAGATATTTTAAGTTCATTAAACGTGTAGTTACAACAAACTACAATTATAAATTTTTATATTATTGGAAGTACATGATAGACATTTTTACACAGGACAATAATATTAGTTCACACAATATAAAAGTTAGCATTACGGGAATAGTTAGTTAGTGCACCAAAATAACTATAATTACTAAACAGAATATAAATGGATATATACATATTAATCACTCCCTAAGTACTCCACTTGTTTTCTTTTGCGTTGTTGTTGTTTGTCTTCTTTTGTCTCTCACCATTTCAGCTTCCATTTGACTTTTTGAATGAGAATAGAGAATATGGATATTTGACCATTTACAGTGACAAATGATCTGCAAACATTATTGGTCCCATATCTTACAATTCCCTCGTGATTTGCGCATTGCCTTCACCAACGACGCAACCTGGATTACAGTTGTGAAATATACCTTTATACCAATAAAAAAGTATTGATTTAT